ACTGCAAGGTATGTCAATATACAATTACCATAAATTACTTTTAAGGCCTACTGCAGTTTGACTAGCCACTATGCCTGCCTTTGACGCAACAGGAAGTACAGCAGTATTATACTCTTATACTTAGTATTATACAACAGGATTATACTCATCACGGTTTCTGTGCATTTAACAATGTCACTCACATGAAAACATGTCCTCACCCAACATGATGTTAAGCTATGCCTACAGTGTAAGTGCTACTGACTATGTAAACATGAAAGTCAATTAAAAGACGTCTGACTAATTTGACGTTTCTTTAAAAAAACATTTTTTCTTTTTCAGGAAATGTTTCTGAGGAGATTATATATGTATCCTTATATTGAGGGGATTATATAGATTATATTATATAAAATCTAAGGAGATTATGTATATTTCTGAAGGGATTCTTCAGAAAATATTTCTGAGGAGATTATATTTAATAATCCACTTTCAAAAGGAAGAGTAAAGTTAAAGGGAAAATGAGAAAAAAACAAGAGTTTCTAAAACTGAAATTCAAAAAATGATTAGAAGTGTAGAGACAATGGGACTCCTAACAACAGTGCAAGACCTGCTAGACCATGAAAATTGTCACTATCAGATAAACAGTACTTAAAGCTTTCATCTTTGAGAGAGAGGAGAAAAACAAGTTCCTCTCTTGTTTCAGATCTGAAAAAATCCACAGGTGTTTCTGTCCATTCTTCCATTATGAGAAACAACGGTATGAGTCTAGAAGGAAGTGTAGGCTGTCCACCCCAGAGTCCAGACCTCAAAATCATTAAATGTTTTGGGGATTACTTGGATTGTGAAAAGCAGAACATAAAACCAACTTCTAAGACTGAACTTTGGAGATGTGGAAGATAGATTTCTTTGAAAAACTTAAAGCAATGGAAACAGTAAAAGCAATACACACTAATAAAGGTGGACACTAAATACTGAGAAATGGTATTACAGTTACAGGTATACAGTTATCAGCAATTTTAACTGGAAATTAAATAAATGAAGGGTGGCCTCTGACCATCCTTCCACTGTGAGAAGAGGTCTTAATGCTATGGGTCTAATAGGATGTGTAGCTGTCAAGAAGCCGTTACTAAGAAAAGCAAATAACCAAAAAAAGAAGACAATTTACAAACTAAACAAAGAAGCTGCTGGTGTTCTCAGAACAATGGACTGACCACCATAGAGTCCAGACAGAAAATGTAACCAGCTTCTAAGACTTAAGTTTGAAGGTGTGGAAAAACATCCCTGCAGATTTCTTTAAAACTGAAAGCAAGGCAAATAAAGGCACACACTAAATACAGAAAAAATGACGTTATACTTTTGTGTTACGTTCTGTACAAATAATTTTTTGCTTTATTCCTGATGTTGAAAACTGAATAACTTGTACTAAATGGCTATTTTGCATGGAATTTAAACATATGAAGAGTTAAGATTGCTGTGCAATTTGACACTTGACTCTTTCATATACCCTCTATGGGGGGGGGGTGCGTACGTGAGGGAAGATAAACACATGTTGTTTCACTCTGCAGGAACACTAGGTAAATACAGAATTCAAACAGAGAAGCCTGGCAAACAAAGAGCCAACACTGATCAATTGATAGACTCTGCAGGAAACACAGGCTTTGCTCTGTTCCGTGTGACTGCAGTATTATGTGTCTATGAATACTATTTCTTTGGTCTGTGTATAAGATTTTCTTTCTTCACATATTCTACAATAACTGATAATAGAGCTTTGGTCTCAGATGTGTTTTGTCCCAGAATGAATACAAAGTATGATGCATCCACACTCACCTTAAAATTAAAGGTACCAAAAGGGTTCTTTGAAGCGATGCCATAGAAGAATCACCTTTGGTTCCCTGAAGAACCTTTAAGTGGATGGTTCTTTACAGAAATACTAAGGTGCCAGATAGATCACTCACCTTTATGAATAGATGGTTCTGCTGCATTTGTGTTGTACAGACGAGTAACACAGGCAGTGAATTAGATGCTTTTCCCTATGTTTAATAAAAGAATAGAAAACCTGATCAACTCAAATACAGGGGGAAACATCTAGGTTCTTATCCACAATAAGTGACTGCACACTACAAATGCAACAGATTAAGTTTAAACATGCTTAAATGATTCTTTAAAGAACTATAAACATAAAGGTCATTTAGGGAACGAAAGGAGGTCATTCTATGGCTTTGCTCCAAAGAAACTGAAACTTTTTTTACATTATTAATTAACATTAACAGGTTTCTGGTCATGTTAGGCACACTTCAACACACAATACCATTTACCATTTTCCTGCAAGCTTTGGTTAAAGTGTAGTGAGTTTTTCCTGTCTCTAAAACGTCCTCTGACTTTTCATTACATCACTGTGCACTGGGCTGAGAAAAGAATCAATTCAATCACATTACATCTCCCTTTCCCAACACCTCCACTATCATTGAATAAAATGCTAAAATAAAATGTAGGAACCCAGGATTGTTTAAACTGAGGGGCTGACAAAATGACTGGTCTATACAGTGATGGGCTACTGAAAGTCATTACTGAGTCTAGCTTTGGCTCTATGTACCTTAATAGCTCTCAAAATATGTTGGTGCCCATTGGTCAAACAATTGTATATTTGTTTATAGTTCATCATTTACATCCCTAATCCTAACTTAAACCCAACCCTAACTCTGGCCCTAATCCTAACTCTAATGCCGTTGATCATTTGAAATGTCACTAGATAGTTTGTAAACAATCTCGACACTTGTAAATTAGCTACTGGAGACAATCAAGAATAAAGTGTAACTGTTTTATCACAACCATAAGAAACCATATACTACACTCACATTTAGTTACTTGATTATAGATTAAATGCACAGTATATTTTTTCAATTCACTTTTTGTCAAATCAAATCATATCTCCTCACAGCCTGCTAGCTCTCCGCTCTGCAGAATTCCGGAGAGGCCATAAGCTGTTGCTAGAATTTTCTGGACTGTTATCTTGAGATAACAAGATAAGTAACTTGTTATTTCAAGATAACAAATTTTGTTATGTTGAGATAAGATAAATAACTCGTTCTTACAAAATAAGTTTTCTTATCTTGAGATAACAAGATAATTAACTCATTATCTCAAAATAACAATCCAAAAAATGATAACTATCTCATGGCCTCTCTGGACTTCCATATCGCTCTGTGTGTACACTGGAAAAAAAAAAAATTCGGTATGTGTACACACTCCATGCAGCATCAAAAAGGAGGGATGGCAGAGAAACAGCCAAAGAGGAGAAAATCTGAAGAAAACCCTGAACAAAGATGGAGAAAGAAGTTTTTAGAGCAGGCAAGGAAGAAGAGCCATGTTAACAGCGGTGAGGTGTTTCAGCAGTAGAGAGACCTCTGAAAGTTGACAAGGCTTAAGTCAGCTTCCTATTCGCATTTTCTTGTTCCACCTTAAACCATGCAGCAGTTCTATTCTGGGCCCTGAGGCACCTGAATGTAACTGCTACACCATTTAAGGTGGAACAGGAAAATTCATACAAGAAGCTAACGTCAGGGATGAGGAGCTTGCTCCCGCTTGACAACTTGTTATTGCTGTTTCACAGAACCAACAGGTCAGCATTGTTTTGTCCCATTATTTGTAATAGCAACTGGTTAGCTTCGCAGCAGGAACTGCAGCAACAGTTTGCCAACCCCAGAACTTCAGAAGGAGCACTGAAGGGAGGTTTTGCCGTTAAGTTCAACGATCGTTCTCCAGACTTACCAGGAGCCTTTAATTAAAATTCAATAAGGTCGAGTCACCTTTAAACAGGACTTTCAGTGGTCTATAAGAAAACAGTCCTAAATTGTATATGCCTTTATTAACATGATCTTTATGAAACATCTGCCATTCTAAGTTGATGCAAGTGTACTCCTTGGTGCATATTTATTTGGCTCTGAGTCTATATTCTCAAACTGCTCATGTTTACAAGTTCTGACTGCAGTTGTGGCAGCGGGACACTTTGCTAATACAAAACAAACAGTGTTAAACATGTTTGCTTCTGGCAGTTGGGGTGAACTGAGCAGCCTGTGGGAAGCCAGCCTGTGAGATGTGTGGATGTAAATGCTGTGCCTCCAAGCATTTATACCATTGCTTGAGTTCATCTATCAAATCTTATTAGAGCAAACTCATCAAAAGTGGATTTGACAGGATAGGTGTGGCAGGAGGCCTGTGAAGTCAACACTGACAGAAAACCCTGTTACCTCTTCACTGGCCTCAATATGACCATGCAATGACATGACACTTTTGGAAAGAGTGTTGGCTCCTTTTCACACTACCAACTCACACCCTTAAAAAATAGAACGCGCAGAAAGCATTCTCTGCCCTTTGCTGCAAGCTGTCGGATGCAAATCAATTTGATCAGTTTAACACACAGCCCAGTCCACATGACCAAAACATCTGAGCTCACACTCAGTGGAGGCCACAGCACCACAAAGCGACATCAACCAGCACCACGACCGCATCTGCAGGCGCTTACGCAACACACTGCTCCCCCTAGAAGCTATCTATATTCAGCATATCTCAGATTTAGCCAGTGGACAAACGGATCAATATCAAGGTATGTCAGAGGTTGCCAAATGAACTGTATTAATGATATTGACCTTTTCCTGTGAAAGCTTTTCAAAGGGGGATTAGGGGTAAGACTTAAGTCCCTTCAGTTGCCTTAAAAAGCTTATGGTGTTACCAATTAAAGGAGCAGTGTGTAGGATTTAGTGGGATCTATTAGCAGAAATGGGAATATATTATACAAAACCATGTTTTCATATGTGTATAATCACCTGTCACTACAAGTCATTGTGTTTTTGTGAGCTTAGAACGTGCCCTTCATATCTACACAGGAGCAGGTCCTTTTCCAACATGTTTGAAGATAAGTAGTTTTTAAAGAAAAAAATACTGCTTTCAATTTCACAGTATCTGAGAAGAAAAGTGCTAATGTGCCACTTCTAATAAACAGTAACTGAATCAGACAAAGAATATGTGAATTACCCAAAGTGAATAGTTTATTGTCACATACATGTTTATGTAAGAGACAAAAAGTTATCATATATCACGGATGTTGTACATCTCTATGCCTGCATCCATTTCTACTGCCTGGAAGAAGCAGGTGGTGCCAAAGATCAAATCTAAAAAGACCCATAAGGCACAGCTTCTGCACCAAACAGACTGCACATAGGGAGCAAAATGTATCTATAATAGATGATTTTTTGATATATGGATACCAGATCTCTCTGTTGTACACTGAATGAGCAACAGCTTAGTGGCATACTGGAAACTGAGTAGATTGAGATCTATAGTTTTGTACCTATCAAGCTATCAAATGCATACAACTCTTCTGGTTTCATAAGAACATGGCAGAAGTTAGCAGAAGCAAGTTAAGGTAGAAAAACAGATTTGGTAGATTAGTGAACAATATCACACTGCTGATAATTATCAGTTATTTTCAGCCCTCAAATACAGCAACTCAAAGTGTTTTGTTTTAAACAGATGAACTTCAAAAAGACAGATAGTAATGCTTAAAAACCATAGCGCCATCAAATTTCAACATCTTGTTCCAAGATAAATGCCTACCCCATGACTTTCCAAAAATAGCCATGAGAACTCAACTAAATCATAGAGATCTCTCAGTTACATAGCCTGGCGATTCTTCTCCAGACTCTTCTCTATGTGGTCAATGACCTCCACTGCTGCTTGAGGGATTCTGGTCCCTGGGCCAAAGATACAGCAAACTCCACTCTGGTACAGAAACTCATAGTCCTGCAGGAGACAAGAGATAAATACAGTGCAGTCAGTAAGTAAGTGACGTTAGTTTTTTGTTGTTTTGGCTCTGTAATCAAGTACATTAGATGTAAAATGAAACTGTGAGTGTTGAATGTCAACTTTGGGCTTTTTTTTTACATCTATATTGTGTGGACTACATGGGAATCACCGCCCTAATTATACATCCCTATAGACCTGATGTTTAAGGTGACCACAGGACATTGGACAATTGACTGCTCAGCTGTGTATAGGGCAGTTATGTGTCACTGCATCACTAACTCATGCAGAAGACAAAACTGCTGATGGCAGCAGCAGGTGTAAAGAATGAGTTTAACTTCTCAAATCCAACCAAATCACATTGCAGCAAGACACTGGTTCAACTGCTGTGAAAAAAATCAGTAGATAATGACTGTCACATTATGTGTCTCTATAAATGGCACATGAGCTGGAAACCAATAGTGGTTTACTGACAGTTTTCTGCACATCAGTGAATCATTAGTAGATCACTAGTTATCAGTGCTTTAGCAGAGGAGATTTTGCCGATACCATGGGAACTTAAATTGCCACTATTATTGGCCAGCCAATAATATGGCAGTTGGGGTCGACATTGATCGAGCCCTACTACACATTGTTTCATATTTTAAATTCATTTTATTCACTCGTTTAGATGAATACATTCTGATTCAGATCGTATTGCAATGTAAAAGCAGCAGTTTATCTATTCGGTCGTTTTTGTAGGCAGATATCTATAGCACCTCCTACAGAGCGACAGCTGAAAATAAAGCATGCTGGATGTATAGGCTCAAAATAATTTTTAAAGTCAATTTTTAAGTGTCAAGAATTCTTTATTTAAATGATGGAATATTATGTTGATGCTGTATTCTGCCTATTGGTAAATCAAACTATGAATGCTAATTTTTTAGATGCCCATAATTATGAAAATGCACATATACTGTGCACGCTACCAAGAGAATACATCATAGAGTTCACTGTATGTGACACAACTACACTCTTTAAAATGAAGGTGCCAAATAGTTATTTGGAAGGGTGCCATAGAAGAACCATGTTCGGTTCCACAATGTTCTTTTCAACAGACAATTCTTTAAAGAGCCATTTTTGTGAATGAGATGCACAATGGAAAAGAATATTTTAAAGTTTAAGAACCTCCGCTGCCTTTCCTAGAACTATATATCCAAGCCAAGAACCATTTCAGAATCTTTACTTTTAGGAGCGGATTTGCTCTTTTTTTTTTTTCGTTTTGTGTTTGTGTTGCCTCTAATGCTTTTTTTAACTCCTACAATTCAACAGATGGCGGGCCTGACAATCAGCTGTTGAGTAAAATCAAATGAGTTAAAGCAAGTTAAAGAAAGTTAAAACACTTTAAACTAGACAGTGTAGGGCTCCCCAGGACTGGGACTAAGAGATACCGATTTGCGGCGCACTTAATCCGCCTCACCCCATGGGACATCTGACACACTGTTAGCAAAAAGACTCCTGTTACTGAGCTATGGATTTCCATGTCTACTCTAATTACTACAGCTTTCATATGTGCTAGTTCACACTCACTATCCATCTCAAATCACTCAATAACTATGTAATCACACTCCAGAAAAACAGCAAAACACTTCATGGGTGCAGGCTGTGGCTAAGTCTATAGTGATAATAATCCAAAGCAGTGGTGGATTTTGAAAGTTTAACCAGGGGTGGCAGGGAATTTTGTCAGGGTGGCAGGTTAACGTGGTGGGGTACAGATATTTTTCTTTGAGTGGGATCTGGGGGGGTACATTTGCTATATGTATTTTTAAGTCAGCAGATGCAAAATCATCTGCAGGACAGTATCTTTTTTACCTTGTTCAGATCTATTTAGTACAGATTCATGACTCTGAATGCTAACTGACGAATACAGCTCTAATATGGTTCTTGCTATTCGTTTTATTGGTCTGTTTAGACAGCTTGTATGTGCATTTGTTAACTACTTTCAAACTTTATGTAGCGTCTAGCAATTATTAGTGTGGTAAACGCACACTTGGGAGCTCGATGCTCTCATAGACATGCTGCCATTTACAGCTTGTCTACAGACCGCCTATTCTCAGGATGGCAATCTACCTTGCATCTGCGTCACTGCATTCCAGCTCATTTTGTGAAAAAAGTCAGTAATGAATGCATTACATTTCCAGAGTCATGGAATACGATCATCAGCAGGAAATCGAGTAAACAGATAGCATCATTGTGTAGGCCATATTTTGTCCCTACCTTAATATCTCCTGTAATTGCAGACAATGTGAAAACATTTAAAGAGGGAGTTCACCTTATTTCACATTTGAGCTCTAACTGACCTCACTACTGCTCTTGTGGCTGAAGGCAATCAAATCTTTACAGCAATGTTCCAACATCTAGTGTAAAGCCTTTCTAGAAGAGTAAAAGCTGTTACTGCAGCAAAGACGGGGACGAATTCCCTATTAATACCCTTGATTTAACAAACATTGGTTGAGAAAGTGTCTACAAATATTGAGACATTAAGGATCACTTTCTCAAACAAGGATTAAACCTATTTCTGGACTACACACCATTCTGAATGAACATTCTCCACTGAAATGCATTCCAGGATTGGCCTTAATCTGTCCAGGAGACTGACCCATAGTGTCTATTTGCTGCTACTTCTGCACTGCCCCTCACATACCTTCTTTGTCTTTTTCTTTATAGACTCTTCATCTTTTGTTTCACATACAGTGGGGGAAATGAGTATTCAACAAGTTTTTTAATGCAGATATTCAGACATTGGAATCAACTCAACTACTAAAACTACTAAAGAAACAGCTAAAGAAATTGTAAAATTCCAATCCATAAATTTATGTGCAATAAAGTGGAATGACACAGGAAAAAAGTATTGGTGGAGAACCCACTAATGACAGCTTCAAGATGCTTCCTGTACAGAGAAACTAATCTCTCGCAGCGTTCAGGTGGGATTTTGGACCAATATTCTATGCAGATAATCTTTAAATCTCAGAGATTCTGAGGGGCCCGCTGGTGAGTCTTGATCTTCAGTTTCTTCCACAAATTTTCTATTGGGTTTAAGTCTGGTGACTGATTGGGCCATTCCAACGCCTTTATTTTCTTCCTATGGAACCAACTGACAAGTCTTTTTTGCACTTTGTTTTGGATCATTCTTCTACTGGAAGGTCCACCTACCTCTCATCCTGGTGGATGACAACAGATTATTATTAAGAATCTTCTAGTACACGGCTCTGTTCTTCTTCCCTTTGATAGATTCTGCCAGTACCATGATAAGAGAAACAACCCCATACTGTGATGCTTCCACTTCAAAACCTCACTGTTGGTGTAGTGTTCTTAGGGTCATATGCAGAACATATGGTGCATCATATTGTTGCCAAAAATTTAGATTTTTGTCTTGTCTGACCACACTATATTCTCTGCTAGTTGATGGTCGAGTGATGTTCCTTCCACTTGGAAATAATGACCCCAGTGATGCTTATAGGAACATTTAGGACTTAAGAAATTTCTCGGCACCCAGTGCCATTGCTATGTTACTCAATTGTCTCATTATGAATGTCTTGATTGAGCTCTTTGCCTCTAACCATAATGAGATGTTTCTTGCAGTTTGGTAATAAATCTGTTTACTTGCATTCATATTTGGATACCCCTTTTTAAAAGAGTGAAAGAACTAACCTGTAAACATGTAGTAACCCAGCTGATTCTTATTAGCACAGGTATTAGAACTAATTAGTGGAATCAGCTGGTTTAGTGCTTTTTTTGTGACTGTCTTCAATATTTTTGTTCAAAACTGTGCTATTGCACTATATAGCACTGGCTTTAGGTAGGTAGGTAGGTAGGTAGGTAGATAGATCTTTATTGATCCCGAAGGGAAACTGCAGTGTTTCAATAGCTACACATATAATTGCACTTAAACTTACATATACTATGCAGAAAATAAAAAAAATAAAAATAGACATAAGTTAGGCACTAATAAAAAATAGACATAAGTATAAAAGAGTAGAAATAAAAGTATCTCTATTTGCATGGCATATAAAACAGATTATATAGATTATGGATTGTAATGTTACAATTTCTATAGCTATATTTTAGCTTTGCTGAGTTAATAGCAATGTCTAAATTTTATGTAAATGGCTGGATTGCAAATATGTTTCATTCAAAAATAATATTGAGATGTTCAATAATTATTTCCTCCCCGGCAAATCATAGTAAAAAGGTTTGCACCAAACAAAAAAAAAAAACAAAACTATGCCAGATCTGACAACATGACAACATGTTAAAGCTGGGGCTGTAAAAAAAATTCACTTTCGGATAACGGACTGTGACTATGCATGTGTGGGGAGTTTGGTACATTTTCTGGACAAAAATATCTTGACTTTGTAGGAAAATCAGACAAAAAACAGACAAAAAACAGGACAATTACTATTTATTTGCTGAATATAACTTTTTGGGGAAAAAAAATAAAACATAGAATGTGGCCTATGCAGTAGTTATGGCATATTTTATATTTCATGTTTTCCCAATATGTTCCCAATATAACTCAGCACATACATAAAGCTGTCAACTAAAATTTTCTGTAAAATGCCATATCAAAGTCTGTGCACTGTAGCGGATGTGTTAACTTTTTCACTTAGGAAAAAAAAATATTTAATATGACAGGGTGTGTTCACACTCTTGTACATGACTATATATATAAAGCATATGTGGCACATATATATCAACACACAGTATGTATAAATGTGTGTGTGTTTGTGTGCACATGTGTTTTTGTGAGAAATGAAATGATGTTCTCTTTTTTTTGATGATGTGATCTTTTTTTTTCCCCCAATAACAGCTCAAGGCCACAGGCAGATCAAATAAGTAGGTTTAAAATCTTACTGGAAGTTCACTGTCATGCTTGTTAATTCTGACTGTTATGTGGCTGATTTATATGTGAAAAAGGTCACTTGTTTCTAATTTGCTAAAATTTGTCACTCAGCGTGGCTTAATATTTGAGCAGGCTCTGCCTCATGATCCACGTCTAAAGCACAGATAATGAAACTAGTGTCTTTGCCGAGACTGTTTGATCTATCAGCTGCCTCTGTGTGCTATTCAGTCAGACAGTCAGGTCTTACCTGTGGGGGGATAACTCCTCCGCAGATGACCAGGATGTCTGGGCGGTTCATGTTGCGCAGCTCTTTGATAAGCTCTGGGACGAGAGTCTTGTGTCCAGCTGCCAGTGTGCTGACCCCCACGCAGTGCACATCTGCATCCACTGCCTGCTGAGCCACCTCCAGCGGGGTCTGTCACCATGGAAACACCACCCAGTGTACACACAGAAAAACAGAGAAATTACAATGCCATTGTGTGGCAATAAAAAACCTGGTCCCACTGCAGTTTGAGGCCAGTTAAGCAGTTTCTTTGATGATATGGATTTAATATGTAGCTTCTGTACAAGGCAAGCAGAGGATGTATTGGAAAAGGATCAGAGGGTCACAGAGATCATCTGTGGTTAATGGAGGTATGCCTATGAAGAGGATTTCTTTCACTGCCCTTCTTTGAGGTACACCAACATGACCATGTTTATGTGAATGCCTTTCTAAGTCCACTTACAAAACAACAGCACCACTGACTTCTCATTAAGGTAAGAAGAAAGAAAAAAAAGAAGTCTATTCACAGAGATCTCTGTCTATTCACAGAGATCTCACAATTAGCCTAATAATCGCTGATTGTTCATGTAATGCGAAGGGTTCACTGAACATAGCTGAAAGAAGAGGATTAGTCTTATCTGGGGAAAGACCAGCTTAACACAGCAGTATGGGTTTTGATCAGCTCCACAATGTAGGAAATGTTCTGGTACACAGTCATTCTGGAAAACACACTGTAATAGATGTTGAATTCCAGGTTTAATTGTGCATTGCACACAGGCTAAACACACAGAGAAACCAGCATGAAAACCTACTGAGACAAACACCAGAAAGCTACAAATTCTGTATGTTCTTTTTATCAAAACAGGTCCAGCCAGATGCCAGTACTGCATCACCAAGTCCCTTTAAGACCCTCTCTCAGACTCTTCTATAACAAGCAGGCCATACTTTTTGAATAATATATGTCACATATGTAAAAGTCTTCCTAGGAATTTCCTCTAAGACCCCTGATAAACTGAACTTTACCAGCACTAAGGTAAATACAATACTAAGCAAATATCAGAGAACACCATTCATATGTTTAATTTTCAGTCAAAAACAGCAGAAAACATAAAACAGAGAATGGAAAAAAAACATTAACTAAATATATCAAATTTACTTATTATACTTTTATTATGGCTTCCATCCTTTTCAGGACACTTGCTTTTTCCAAGAAATCTGCAGGGACATTTTTTATACCTCCAAAGCTGGTTGCATTTTCTACTGTACAAGATCCGAGAAATCCCAAACACATTCAATGATTTTGAGGTGTGGGCTCTGCAGTGGTCAGTCTTTTGATCTGAGAGCACCAACAGCAAAATTTATTTTTTGTCAATTTTCATTTCTCAGTAATGACTTTTTGACAGCTGCATATCATTTCACACCCATAGTGCTGAGTTGTCTTCTCACAGTGGAAGGATGGCCAGAAACACCTGTGGAGCTTGATCTTCTCCACTCTCTCAAAGATGAAAGCTTTAAGTAGTTTATCTGATGGTGACAGTTTTAGTGGTCTACCAGGTTTTCTCAGAAATATCTCCTGAATAATTAGTAACTAATTAAGTACCTATTGGCCAGTCTGATTGAAACAGAGGGTGGTCTCTGACTTTTGTACTGTGCATACCTACAAATACCACAGATTATAATGTATTTTCTAAGTTACTGGTTAAAATGAGAAAAAAAAGTCATGTAATAGATATATGGGTGTTTCGAGAAGGGGGCAGGCTGCAGACATGCACTCTCAGCCTGACATGCACTGCCAACCTATTAATGACGTCAGTGCACTCTCTGCCACAACAGTGTTTTTGTCGGTTTTATGAGGGGGAAAAACAGCAAACTACATACTGTTGGGCAACAAGAATTACACTGAACATATATTACCGTGGTCATACTGATAATAAGGTAATTAAATATTGAAACTTTGAAAATAAAATCATGACAATAAGACATGAATGTCAGGTTTATTCGCAGAAAAAACAATCAGTGTGCACATGACATCAGCAGGGCTGAGAGTGCATTTCTGCATGTCTGCAGCCAGTCTCTATTGGGTGTTTCTGGTTGCTCAAGAGTTGCCATGTTCCCTTCACTGAACAACACAAAAGAGCTGTGAATGTGTAGGATTGGTTGTAGCCATGACAGTTTTCCTTTTAAGTCTCATTATGAGGTAAAAGGTATAAATCAAGAAAACCAAACCAAAATAGAGCAACTGAGCATTGAAAAATAAACTGTGTAAAATATCTTGAAGAAAAACACTCCTGGCAAAGTAAGCATTTTGCTCTGGCCAGGTCATTCAATGAATGCCACAGCAACTGCTGACAGAATAACCACTAGGCTATAAAGAAAAAACCCAAAATAGCAGCCAAAGAAATTACAGGTAAACTGCAGAGTGTAGTAATCTGACAATTTACAGAAGAAAAGAGAAATACTGGAGCTATATCGCAAAATGCAAACCTTTCATCAGCACTAAGAAAAGAAAAACCCAGACTAGAATTTGGAAAGATGTACAAAGACGACTTAAAGGAGTTCTGCAACAAAGGTTTATGGAAAGAAGAGAGGAAGATAAGCCTTTACCAGAGTAATGGAAAAGGAAAAGTGTACAGTAGTACAGTACAGCAATCCAAAATACTGCACATTTGACTGAGGGGGTACATCAGAAAGAAAATTAGCAAAATTTTATACTAAGTCAGTCTCCTGATGTAAATGAATGTGACACGCATTTCACATGCTAAAAAACAAAATGCTAAAAATTCCCCAAGCAACAAGTGAAAAATATCAAGAGTCAGAGCTTTTACATGTTCCAGCATACTGAACAGCATTACCCAGTAATAAAAGCTGACATTCTGTACATGAGCCTCATGTTTTTTTTAACTGAAATACAAATATGAATGTGACAAAAACAAATCAATTTTAATTCAAAGCACCAATGCTGCTCTTTGCATGTTAAATCATGTATTCTTTAGACTTTGTATGCAATATGAACTATACACCAAATCCATAATATATGACTGCGTGGACTGCTTTGAGGGTTTTGCAAAAGCAGCAGTCAATACAGCTTTGCCACTCCTTTGTTTATTTTTGTCACCCACCTGAAAAAGAGGCCCGATATCCACATCGAATCCCAAATCTGCAAATCCTGTGGCAATGACCTTCGCACCCCTGTCGTGACCATCCTGTCCCATTTTGGCCACCAGCAGGCGGGGATTTCTCCCCTCATGTTTCTTGAACTGCACAACCCTGAACAACGGACACACAAGGACATGAGACACATCGCATATTGACTTTGGGTATTAGGGAGGGATGCACTCAGCCATTATAACCAAGTGTCCAAAACTTTCCAAACCATTTTTGAGTCAAGCCTGTGTCCAAAGTACTTTGTGATCTCCTTTAAAAGCACTTTAAAGTTGTGCAACACTCAAGGCAGAACGGCTCTTAAAAGCATAGCTCCCTTGTGATTTAATGGTGATAAGCCGTGAGTGAGGAACATGCTTCTGAGGGACGTCTTTGACCTCTTACCGGCCGTGCACGAGGGCGATTTCCTCATGCTCGCCAAACTCACTGCGGTACGCTCCGCTCACCATGCGTGTGCTGGCCTTGTGCTCTCCGAAAACTGATTTCATCGCATCCGTGATCTCCCCCACTGAACACCTGCACAATCCAATCAAGTGCTTAATCAATGAGTAAATCACACTATTTTATATAGCTTAAAAATTCAATACTGCTGTGTGCTGTGAATGTTTCCTTAAACCCTTAAAAGTCTATAATTATTGGTGCCATTTCAATATTTGATTAAAATGTAATTACATGATAATTATATTGTTACACAATGAGTTACATTTACATTCAAGGTTGATAGGGTTGAGGATCTTCTGACTTTTTAATACTTTTTAATGTCAGGAAATAAACATTTTCACATTAGACTGTATGCACAACAAAAACTTTTCAGAATGAAATAATACCTCTTCTATTCAAATGATGGTATTAATTGAACATTTAGAAATGAGTGAGAAATATCAAATTAGTCAATGCTTTTTGTTGGCTACAATAACTGCAACTTCAAAGAGTTAAATAAGCCACACCATATATTAAAGCATGTGATAATATCAGTCTTATGTGCTTAAAGCATGTCACACAGTCTTGGCCAGATTCTGGGCCAGATACCAGCTATGCTCCCATGTGCTAAAAGTCAGATTATATAATTATATGATGAAGTATTCTGCAGATAATCAAGACATTAACGACACTCTGTTTGTATCTGTTTTTTGATGAAAGAATTGGTCATGCAACCGAAAAAAAACAACAAGACCCTCTGCATAATAGTGGCAATGTTTTGTCTAAAAATGTCTATTAAATGGCATATAATAGGTGAGTTTGGAGCTCTCCATTGCTGGGGGAAAAGATGGCAATATGAAATGTCCATTCGCTAAAGTGAACTTAAGTTAAATAGGTTTGTTTTTCTATTCATTCTGTGATAGCTTGCCATTTCAAAGCAGGTCACTCTATATGTGACCAGAAGGCTGGACCACACTAATGTATGTGTACTAATATGTAACATGAGCAAAAAGGTTTTTACTATATCATCCTGTCTCTCTCTCACACAAACACATACACATACACACATCATTTCAGCTGCTCCCTATTGGTTGCTTCTTAAACACGCATCATAGCAGCAGTCATATTGTGCGACATTTTGGACTAAAATTTTTGACACTGCCAGAACTTTCTTGTAATAAGCTGTATTTAGTCATAAAGGCACTAAATTGATTGCAGTGCAAAATGTCACATTACAGGTTGAAAGGTAATTGGTTTTTAGCTTACAATCAAATTTTCTTTTGCTTAATTCAATGATTGAGATGTAAACAAAGTCACTCAGAGTGGTTTGATGTAAATGGTTCACTGTAGAGAAACTCAGTATATTGGATTTCTGTACAAATGTGGTGAGCGAAACTAGGACTTCTGAGGTCTTCAATGCAAATATAGCCATTTTATTTACTACTCAAAATAACCAGTGAACCTACATGTGTCTTCTGAGTTTATATGTCTAATGTATCTAAAGCTATCAACACTGCTGTGAGCAATTCTGGCCCAGTAGGTTTCCCTAGAATGGTGCATTTCACGTCAAACCACTCTGAATGATTGTTTACATCAAAAAAGAATTATGCAGTTATTTTGAAACGACTCCCTTTTAACTGTGCAGAATTAAGAGGAATTTGTTACATTATCCTGTTATCATTACTGTATTACTGTAGATTTTGTTGAACTCTACAGTGTTCACTGTAGTAATAGTCTGACTCTGTAAAGCCAATAATGAAAGGCCATTATTTTGTCCAAAGGGCTACTTCACAGTTTCACATGTATTGTGATGTATAAGGGCTTTATAGACCTGATCTTAACTGAGGTTGACTGACCTTGCTCTTGCAGCCTCCACAGCCAGTTGTAACAGGTTACCATCCCTGGTACGAGCACACTGCTCTATAGCAGCCAGGCACCTCTTCGCTGCATCAGCATCTCTGGCCTCCCTCACCTGCAAACAAAGCATACAGCAGCTCTTTCAAAGCACTGCAATAAAGGCCTCAGACCAGAGCTGTTCCACACAAAATAATGGAGGAAAATGAAGTCATTTATCAGGATGAAAAAAAAGGAAAAAAAAAAAGAAGAGAACCTCCATACATACCATACCACCAGAAGCATACCATTTTCATTCAGAACATGGAAACTGTATGGCTGTTTTCAAATGTCCCTTTAAAGGTTCACTGTTTTATGAGGAAGCATAATTTTAAGTGAAGCCGTATATAGATAGCAACCTCTTGTCTAGTGTTTAAATGACCTGAATGAAAATTCAATTAAATAACCACATAGCAGTCTCTGCTAGTTAAATAACTAGTTTTATATCTCAGTTTACTGTACTTATAGCAGTTTTCAGCCAGTCTGATACAGCAGACTAACAAAGCTGCTGCATCTAAAACAGACTAATCCAGAAGCCCGGTCTGAAAGGTCTGAGGGGCTGTGTGTTGCAGAGATGCCTCAGGACAGGGCCTTAAAGGGGAATTCCACCTAAATTCTACAGTCATATATGTTATATTAGTTCCACTAATATAAGAAAATGTATCTCTGCAAGCCAGAAGCAGAGATGGAAAGAAACGAATTACAGCTTCTCTCATTATAGCACTTGAATGCATCTGCACGGCAAAGAATACAATACAATAAAATTAAATTGTAGTATTTTTCCTTCAGTTAATTTTAATAAAGCATTCACCTTATTTAGAAGTTGAGAACTTATTTTTAAAACTGATACAGAGTGAAATAAATGCTTTTAACAAGTCAATCTCCAACCTGAGGGTAGCTAACTAAACTTTCCTAAATAGCTACTATTCTTTTAATATTTTAATTTTATTTGATTGTTTTGCAATAATAAGAAAATCAGCTCTTTTTAAATCTAACAGCATACAGCATACAAAAGGCATGATAGAGTATTGATGTTAGGTTGATACATAGCTACACATATACTTTTATACATCATTTGCCATTTTATTTTTAAAAAAAAGAAAACAACAAGAAGTTTTTGTACTCTCTATTTCCAGCAGGGGACCACAAATGCACAAAGACTCTTGAATTCTAGCCACAAATTGTTTTAAAGGTCCCACTTAGATGGAAGTGTGGCTGTAGTCTTTTCTGAGCTGATAAAAATGAGTCACATTGTATTTACAGCATTACACCAGATAAGAACAACAAATGCGTGGCTCAACTGACTACACACACACACACACACACACACACACACACACACACACACACACACACACACACACAGGCGAAGCTGAGAAAACCAAATTAATTCAAGAAAGAAATCAATTCTCTACTCTTTTTCAACAAACAGCAACCAATCATTGTCTCTGTGCGTCAGGACAGCATTATAGGTCAGCAGTAAAAGCAATAAAAGCTTTTCTGCCAGGCCTGTCAAACACTTTGTACGGTCCTGAAATGCATCATGAGACGTGAAAAAAAAATGATTTCCAGTGGAATTCCCCCTTTCAAACATCCTTTTTGAAGAATTCTGAGAATAGTAACCGGACCTCTTGTCAAATATAATCTGAGTTTTTTTCATCCTCATGCTGAACTTTTCCACACATAAAATGGAAACACAAAACATATGAAGTAATCTGTCGGAAGAATTCTCCCAAATGAAAACCTCAGTGTTATAAGGCTGCAGTCTTAACATCTGTGAACATTATTAGAACTGCTGTTGAGGCACCAACTTAAAGCCTACGAGAGAAAACATATCTGGAATGAGAAAAGCCCAGCAACCACATGTTTGCAGGAATATTAGGTGGACCTGACTGACCTTCTCTATCTGATCATACATCCAGTTCAGAGGGGAAATGTTAAGTGACCTTAGCACAAATGCAAGCAATATGCCATAGCCCAGGGCACACTGGTGACATGAGGGCTTTGTTGATGTGAATCATTTCCATGTGATTGTGAGCTTTCAGAGCCACAATAACCCATCTCACCGGTGGCATCTGCACTCCTGGGAATTCTGTTGTGCCGGAGGCAACATCAATATAACACAAAATTAAATGCTGAACTGAGTGTTTTAATCAGAATCTACTCCAGAGACAGGAAGCCTTTGGGATCAGACCATTTTCTGATTTACAAGATTTTGTTGTTTTTTAAAGCTGATGCTACAAATACAGCTAAGGTGAAATGTTCTCTTCACAGATAAAACCCCTTTCAGTTGGTCCCAGAAAGCTGAAATTCACAGAAAATCCTGCACTCTTAAAAATCTATGACATGCATTAACATTTCAGGAGTGTTCAAGCTGCAAGACGGTGCTCCAAACTTGAGTTAAATCAAATCCCTTTGATCTCACTGCAATTATCATACGTATGTCAACGCAAATATTTAATCAAGGCATAAAGGCAGCACACCTGTTCATGTCACTTCCAATCATGTCAGAACTTAAAGTTAAACTTACAAAGTAAAACGTAATTTTTTAGCTGATTCATATAGTTAGTAATAAGCGGATGGGTCTCTATCTACTACGAGCTTGTAAAAATTTCGCTCTGTCAAAACATTATTAAAAAAGCATGGTTAGGTGTGTTGTAGCAGTAGCCAATCAGATCAACTCCTCTCATTTTCTCTCGTCCCTTTAAGAGCTATAGTGTTGATCAATAACACTGTCCCTGGAAACTTTAGGAAGCTCCATTACCTTCACCAAGATTTATGAAATCTTCCCAACCAATGGAAACATCTTTTATAATGAAATCAGGTGCATTTTTTGCAGCATTAATATTATCATTTGCAACATTTTATATCTATGGCTTCACTTCACAACCAACTGCAAGAACAGGAGTAGTCTGAAATCCCTTCTGAGATGCTTTGATAGCTGCAATGGTTCAGAGCAGACCAGGCGCTAAACACCAGCGGCTGTGAATTAAAAAATGAAAAAAAAAGAAAGACAACGGAGAATCTCACATACCAAATGAATGCATTAAGACATGATTAACTGCAGACGAGCACTTCGTGTACAACCTACTCTGAGTGTTGTGTGGTGAATTAGGTATCCTCCTTCTCTTTATGGCTTTTCATTACTGAAAGCTCCAGACACGCATTTTAAAATCCCATATGGTTAGCATCCATGCTTGGTTGTTATGCCCACCATTTGAAATGGCTAATAGCTGTGGAGTGCTCTATCTACAGCTCCTCATCTCAGCCACACACTGAGAAAGTGAATGGGAACGGCACTGAGAGCAAAATGTTCAGATTTCTGACAGCTCTGAAAACATACAAAGAACAAAAGGCTCCTACACACTCTGAGAGCAAATTTTTCACTCCTGGACAGGAAGCAACTTGCTGCATATAACTGTGCTGAAGTAACACAAAAATGTGCAAAAGAAATAGAGGAAAAAAAAGAATTAAAAAAAGAAAAATAGCTGGCTAACTATTTGTCCATAACGGTAAACTGATTTTGTAAAGCCACCATAATGTTTGTAAAACTGAAAAATGTATTGTCGGTGTCCTCACACCATACACTATATGGACAAAAATAATGGGACACATCTCTTAATCACTGGATACAGGTGTTTCATTCAGTCCCATTGCCTTGTTGTATTGTGTCAACTATAAAGTTTGGTGGAGGAGGGATAATGTTATGGGGTTGTTTTGTCAGGCGTTAACCTATTTCAGATAGAGGTGTTATAGAATGACATTAGATTCATTCTATTTTTCCCTCCAATATCTGATCCAACATTTTCTGCTGATATCAGACCAAAGCTGATACCTTCTCTAGACACTACAGAGTATTTTTAACAAAAATATTGATAATCACTTAACTGGTAACTGTACACTATACACATACACAATAAAGGCACTGCCTATAGAATGGGACACTCTGTAGCAGCCAACCATGAGCATAATGTCACCATGCCCAATGCCAAGTGTCAGCTAGAGCAGTACAAGGCAGTGAAACTGTATTTCTGGAGTGACGGATCACCATTGAGGCTGCTGATGGCTGACTGCCATCAAATCCTCACAGCAGTTTTCCAACATCTTGTGTAACGTCTTCCCAGAAGAATAGAGGCTGTCATTGCAGCAATAAACTCCCTAATAATACCCTTTATTTTAGAAGAAACCTCTAAAACATTCTGATCTTTTTTATCAGCATAATGTTAAGCACTGTCACACTGTCAGATGAAAAGAAAAAGAATGAGTCACTGCAAACTGTAAAATCCGCAATGTGCCTTGAAACTTTGATTATGAATTTGTGGCCTCTTGACTGACAAACTTTCCAGTCATGGGAATACTCATGAGTGCTGGTCCATGCTTAAACAGGAAATGCAATTTGACAGTTAAGTAACTCTACAGGGCATTCCAGCACACGGCCTAGATAGAGATGAGGTGAACAAGTTTATATCACACACTGCATGAGCATGAATGTGACAAAGATGAGAGTTATTCTCTCTCCATTCACAAGCGTACATAACGCATCCACCTTAAGAGGACACTGACCTTCTGAAGCTTCTCAATCTGCTTATTGCGGACAATGGTGTTATCGATGGCCAGGACTTCCACGGTTTCTTCGTTTTCCAGCCGATACTTGTTGACCCCAACAATGACCTCAGAGCCTTAAAGAGGAAGAAGCAGACAACGTTTTGGTTTTAGCAACAACTTCATGTCAGAACAAGTGAAATAGAAGTCTGCTTCTCAGGTCACTTTTTCAGGGTGCTTAGGGCCCTGATCAACTCTGGAAAGTATGTATGAAATGCAAATTTTCACTAGCTCCAATCGCCCTGATATCTGCTGAAAAATGTCTAGGATGTTCAATAGGTGAATCTGCAATTGTGACAATAGGATGAGGTGTGTAACTTTTGCCTGCTGAAACTGAACAAGCAAACTAGTATCACAGGAAATGTTACTCATCAACCAGGCTCGGAAAAAAGACCACTGTATACTGAAACTAGGGCTGGGCAGTATGAGGACAATACCAGACACACATAATCATCTTTACTTTTACTATTTTCTACATTTTAGAAAAGTGAAGACATTAAAACTATGATATAACACATATGTAAATTATGCTGAGGCCAAAAAAGTGTCTTTTCCAACATGAAGCCACTACCGAGATATGAAAATAGAAAGAAAAAAAAAAAAGCTAAAAAAGTAACATTTTAAAATCACAGGCACTAATAAAGAGCAACTTAACACATATCTGTTTTATTAACCACTGTTAATTCTTATATAATAGTTTCACATGCTTTAATAAAAATTGTGATTGTTCTAATTAACAATACACTTTGAACTGTAAAAACTGTATCATTAAAGTTTGTTAAAAAAAAAAAAAAATCTATTTGAGACTCAAAAATTAGGCATTTACTTCAAAATCATAATGATGAACTGTCTACAACACCAAATCAGAAAAAGTTGAAAACGGTATGTGAAATTAAAGTTGAATTAAAACTGTGATTATTTATTATTTTTGACCTGTATTGCATAGGAAAATAACCCACCACATTATTTTATGTTTTACTTCATGAATCTTTTTGTTTGTTTCCAATAAACACATTTCAATTTTGACTCTTGCAATATGTTTCAAAAAAGTTGTGACAGTAAAGCATTTACCACTCTGTGAAGTTGCCAATCCTTTTCACAACACTTAAATGATGTTTAGGGACTGAAGACATCAAGTGATGAAGTGTATTTTTGTCCTATTATAAAAAAATGTATATTCAGTTAGATGTGTCCAAATTTTTGATGGGTATTGTTTGTTGTTATCTTGATAAATTACATCACAATACAGAGTGAGATACTGTCATAGATATGGTCGGCCGGTAGTTGAAGGACACTGAACAACTGTATCATAAAAAGAGAAATTTCAGCAAGCCTGTAAACAACAATCAGCAATGTATAGTACCTGTGATAATTGCTTAGGAACAAGTAGCGGACTGGATTTTACACTATTATATGATTTTATTTTAGTAATTTATTTTTTTTACCATTTTTTACCTCCTGTTTCCTCTTTAATAGTATTTTGCCATGTCATCCGTATTTATTCTAAACACAAGCGTATTCTATAGAACATTTACAAACACTGGAAACAGAATTTCAAATGTGAAAGAGTCCCTCATTAATCAGGCACATGCAAAGTGACACCACTATGACTAATCCAATCCGATTCTTCTTTTAACGCAAATTAAGTAAAGAGCAGACTTATTTTGCCTGATGGACATAAAAATCCAAAACCTATCCAACATTATGTCTATAGTTCAGATTTTCATTTGAAATCTATCAGCTTCTGTTCCCAGGGGCCTGACAGGTCAGCTAGCACGGAAGAGTTAATGAGCAGAGCAGAGCAGAGAAGGGGACAGTGCGTCCACCCATGTGCTTTCCACCAGACACATCAGCATGCGCCACATGGCATGTTCATTACGGGCTGCTGACGCAGGACCAAACTCTGCCACTTACCCAAGCCCTGGCTGGGAAAAGGCATTTGATAAGGCGGCTGGGAGGGTGTCAGGAGATAAAAGCACAGAAAGTGCAGAAAACACGGACTGGGGTCTGGTCACTAAGCTTTAAGAGGCCCAAACGATAAAGAGTGCAGAGAAAAGCAGTGAACGGGTTTGGGATTCCTAAATGTAAGAAGGTTTGTGTATACACATGCCTGATTACCTGTATATATACTTCAGTTAACAGGATGGAAGTGAACAGTGATTGAAAAAAATTTAAGAGTTTGCCAACAATTTACTGACATCTAATTTAACCACAATCTTTTACAATATTTTTGATCATAGTCCCTTATATTGACAAGTTTTATTTATTTACAAACCCCTAACTTCAGACCTGAGTTCATCAAGTCTTCAGCAGCGTCTGAATGGAAGAAAAAGGTGGAGATGATAATGTCATAAGAAAACCTCATAACCTTTTTTTTAAATATCACTTGCCAACTACAAATATCACAAAATGCCACCTACCCTTTATATGGTGTGAACGTCTTAAAATGAATTGACCAATAAAAACTTTGAGGTTTTTAAAGTTACATTAGCAGATGTTAAGATGTTTTTCTAATTGTCCCTTAAAGTACTGTATTTTTACAATAAAGTTACTGTTTTAGCAATATGTTTTTTTTTCCCAAAGCAATTCAATTTGATATTTGTTGTATACCTTTGAGAACAAAATTTAATCTGCATATATTTCTAATATATATTTTTTTAATTTTACATATTCAGGTTGGCTCATTTTGTAGAATTTTGTTAATTGAACTGCATTAATTTTAATTTTATAAAGTTTTCCAGTAAATTTTATAACTAGCCCCTCCATCCGTAACAACCTGCCCTGTCTATGGGGTAAACTATAACATCTGCACCTAACACTTTAAGCTGAATTGTTCACAAATTGTGAACCAGGTTATTAATACAGTGCACAGTGGTTTGGTTTTTGCTAAACAATTTTAAAAGTATTTGAACACAATTTTAATGCATAGCAATCTGCGCATCTCTGCTACAAAGCAAAACTCAAACTCTGTTTGCAGCACCTACCGTTCGTAAACAATTTCAACTGAAACGATGTACATACAAATAGTACAACTTTCTCCACAGCCAGGACTAAACGTAACAGACGGAAGGGATAAATGTTACTGTTGTTAAAAAAGTCAGATAAAATAATACAAAAGACATTTGACACTTTGCTGTTTTGATTCCAACCTAAATATATAAAAATATATGCATTAGAAGTTGAATATGTTTAGTGAAATGAGGCTGTGTCAAACACTTAAAATGCATATTTGACAAAAAAGCAGAACAAAAAAACAGCATGATAAAACTGAAATATATATTATTTACATGACTCACAATTAAATTTCACTTATTTACAATGGGAAACCCTTTCTAAGCATGATGATTCCTTTACAAGGCATTTCACCAGTATGCAAATGTAAAAGAAGTATAGAGCAATAAATTAATTTTCCACTTAAAGCTGCAACTAATCTGCCCCTGACAAATACACTTAACATGAGCCACATGCTAGCTGGGCAACTGTGTATGAAATACACAGTTATGACCTGTTAAACTGATAAACTAAGACCTGTTGAACCTACTAAATCTAATGTGAAACATGAAGAGATTTAGCAACAGAATGTAGACAACCAATACTACTTGTTAATTACATGCAACAGCAAAACACCTGGTATGGCAAAGCCTACACCGAGTGCCCCCTTGTGGCATAATGCAGGCAGTGAAATGAATGATTGACAACAGATCAACAACAGATAGCTGAGATTGTAATGACAGCTTTCCTATTAATTTCTCTGTTTAGTCAGTAAAAATACAGCTTTAGGTTACTTCACTGTCCTTTCTACAACTGTAGTGATCAATACTTCTAACTGCTGCTGTTGGCTAAAAATACATTTTTAAGATGTAGTGCTCTAAGCCCAACTATAACACAGGCCTATTGATGAGCAAGTTATGACAAAATCTAGTGAATACACCACTAAAATCCAGAAAGGACAAATTAAATACCCACTTTTCTCATGTCTGATGGACTGAAGTTTCTTTCACTGCAGATTTATCAAATTCACGCACCATCAACAATTCAGCTTTTAATGTTTGATGGCTGCATCGCTGAAAAATATAATTTCTCTTATTCTTTACACAAAACATCACTAAAAAGCAAACCAACACTTCTTCTGCTTCTAAATAAACCTATGGAAAAAGCGCAGAGCAGCACACAACACTACTCATAAACAAAACTGGCAGATAGAGACTGTACAGAAATGCACAACTGTACAGATGTACACATAATATATAACAACCTTTACTCCTTTGGGAAGGCTTTTCACAAGTGTATCTGTGAGAATCCTCCATCTTCTAAAGAGAACATATTTTACTGAAAATTTAGCAGAATGTGGAAATAATAAAACATAAAACGTGGTGCGAACATTATAGCATATTTGATTTGATGATTGGCCACTTTGTGTCACACCTACCAATGATCACAAAATCCAAGACTTGAAACTGGATTCAATGTCTGGATTTGAAGATCTCTGCTCAAAACGCTTCTGATACTCTTTAAAGGCACAGACATAATTTGTAAATTTAAATTACATGTGTTCAAGATTGTTAGTTAGTAAATAGCCATCACTTGGTAGCGGTTCATGTAACAGTCAATAGAAGCATAACCTATATTGTCCACCATACTATATCAGTGCTGATAAAGGATGCATCTGGGGAGCAGCTATAGGAGCAGGTATCCAACATAGATGGCTTGTGTTCTGCTCCACTGAATGATTCATGTCCTCTGAGCAGGCGAGGGCGATGGCACTTATGTGACATGTGCCTGAGCACTTGCTCATCCGTGAATGGCCTCACAATCATTTACAGCTGCAAAACTGCCCTCTGGACTGTATGTCAAAAGGCCCTGGAGCTGACTCTGATTTGAGTACATGGCATAAATTGTGCTGCTGATTTGCATCCAGCTGTAACAAGGACACAGTAGGGAAAAGGTATCAGCCTCTAAGCTGGTTACTTTTTCCAAGAAACTGTTTGTTTTTATACAGCGCTTCTCTGCAAACATCTGTACTCCTTGTTCTCTTCATGCTTGTTCGTGAGTAGGGACGGAAGGAGTGACTGGTTACAGATCGGAGTCAGTTGATCTTTTTTATTGTAAATACATGACCAGAGTTCAACCAATGCTCCTTTCATCTAGCCAGTGAAAGAGAACCGTTGTGGAAGACAAAATATGCGAGCCAATTTTTGCCACACGAACTGTGGCAAAGAGCTGTTGTACCACATTTTGAGTCGTTTACAATGCAGTCTCAGACTCAGAATCTCCACCTACACTTAACACAGAGGTCAAGCCAGGACATCAAGCCTTTCAGGATAATATGCAGTCGCTGGATTTAATATCATTTGCGAAGTCCACAGACTCACATCTTTAAAAGTTATTTAAGAGTTTTCTTTGAAGCATTCAGTCGTGGTTGGTTAGTTTCCATGTCAGTCAAAAAGGGCCTTTTAGGCTTGTGAGACTAGCTACAATGTTACATTGCTTAAATCATTTAAATAAAATACTCTGTATTAAACTGAATTATTTATTGTAGTACTTTTAAAAGATTTCATCTGAAAGGAATAGTCACAGTTATCTTCTTTTAAAGTAATTAATGTGTTTTGTTGCAACAGTCACAATATTAACACAACATTTTAAATATTCTGTATCTTTTAAGTTACATTTTGTTTGGAAACAAGTCATTTTTATGAGTAATATATTCATAAATCGTTAAGTGGACAGTGTCCTATAATCTGGTGAAATTGCTACCACATGTCGCGCTGAAGAAAGCAACAATCACAACAGTGTGGGAGGTTTTCCCCACCGCAGAAGAACCAATACACAGCATATACCAGCCTGTGCTGTACAAGCTTGAGCCTATGGAGCACCAAGTTTGGGAGAAAGGACAACTGTTAATGGGACAACCTGGACAGAATGTATCATAAAGCATGGAGTATTCCAGTCATTTTATGAACTTCCTAGTTTTGTTCATGCTGTGAACAAGGTACAGCACTAAAACCATGAAGCGGTGTGTCATTCCATACCAATGTTTAATGTAGAAACCTACACATTTGTTTTTATATTACATTGGATAATGGTGTACTACATTGGATAATCATTTTTGATATCAATTTTAGCTTATGCATCGGCACATGAAGCTTGTAACGGGCAAACAAGTAACATATTCTTAATTATATAAGCTTTACTGGGACTTTTCTGGAAAGGTCTGAATTTGAAGCCATGTCTCTGTATTATTTAACCAGACTGTTTAGTGTGGGCAGGATATAGTCCAGATGCAGTGAATATAAAAGGGTAAACTAGTTAATTGGAGCCTGCAACAGCAACCAGTGGTGCCCAACCGACAGAAAGGATTTCAGGATTAACAGCAGTCTTTTTCACACAGTGAAACAGTGTGGTACTGGAGGAATATTTTAGGTGGCGGTGGCAAGCTCAGAAAAAAAATCCTTCCTCCAGGACCACACTGTTTCACAGTGTGAAAGAGCCTGTTATTACTGAAATCCTTGTCTGCCAGTTGGACGTCATTGCTTGCCTCCATTTAACTGATTTACACTTTATTCTCTCTGTATTTATTTTTTTTTAATTGCATGAATTTTAGTATTTAGTTCCTTAGACAGTTTTTCAAATCAATACTTCATCTAGATGAATGACATTACACCTAATGGATGGAATTTGATACTGGATTTCAGCAATAATGGGTTAAATATTACTCAAACAATTTCACATTTTGCAATTTCACATTTTGCACCTTGTGTCTGTCTGTTCAGCTACAAGCTTTGATTCACCCACCCTTATTTGTGAACATGTACAGACCTGAATCAATGCGAGCTTGTCTACGTGCAGCACACTCCTCTATGCGCAGTTTGGGGATTCCCTCAGCCACCGCTCGTGCCATCCCTCCCATCTCCTCAATCTCACTGATGAACTGATCAATAAGAAAAAGAATCTCACATGTGAAACATGCTATAAAATAGTATGAAGTAGCAGACATTAAATATTGTGTTTCTGTAGACTGTGGCCCTTAGCGGCCTCCGCTATATTTACAGGTTGTGTCTTAAGATTTGCATCACATATTCTTGCATATAGCATGCATTGCGTAAAAGTGCATTCATTTTTTTTCATTGGACACTGAAGAGGAAACTAAAATAAATAAATAAATAAATACATAAATTAACATCTAAGCAGTATTAGCTAATCTACTAGTTTAATCCAAGTTCACATGTATCAGGACATACCCTGCCCATAGGTACAGTCATATGCAAAAGTTGCACAATTACTGTTTATGACCTGAATTTAACCTATTGGAAAGAAAAAGACCACAAAATGTGGTCTGTACAAAAGGTGTGGTACATTATATATCTTATATTTCATATTTCGTTAAACCCAGCAAATAAACAGAAACTGCACACTAAAATTTGCCATAAATGCCACATCTAAGTTGGCTCCCTGTAGAGGACGTGTTAACTTATTTTCACTTAGAAAATCAATAAAACATGTAATTTGATCAGAGGTGTTCTAATCTCTGCTACGGATTTCATATGATCAAAGAGAAAAAGAATCTCAGATTTAAAATGAGCTATAAAGTAGCAGAAATGAGATATGGTGATGACTTTAAATGAACTGTCTGTAGACTGTGGCCCCTAGCTATACCTATATATAGGTACTGTGAGTTAAGATTTGCACCACATATTCCTGCATATTGCATATTTTATGTAAAGATGCATTCATTTTTTATTGAACTGTTCTTTCCTGACCTTGAGGGCTGCACTGTACACATCATTAGTGAGCGCCTCCATCATGTAGGAGCCGCCCCATGGGTCTGCCACTTTAGGAATGCCAGACTCCTCCTGTATGATGATCTGGGTGTTGCGGGCGATGCGGGCACTCTTCACTGTGGGCAGACCTAACGCCTCATCGAATGAGTTAGTGTGCAGGGACTGTGTGCCTCCAAAGACCGCAGCCATGGCCTCAATCACCGTCCGGATAACATTGTTGTAAGGGTCCTGTGGTTAATCAAATAAAATGCAAGTATAAAATGAAGTTATGGGCCTCAGCACATTAAATACACTGCTGTGCCATTGTCTTTGCTTCTAACTCAATTGTGAAAGGCTGAGGGCAGCAGTGCATGGATGGGTTACATATGGGGTTTTGTCAGGATACTACACACTGTTCTCTATTACTTAATTAGAAATGAATATGGGCTAAATAGCACAAAATGACAAGGTCTGTCCAAGTTATGAGTTACCTTGGAAGACTAAGAAAGATGTGCTGTGCTGTAAATTCTGATACTAAGCCTCAGACACACTGAATTGAGTTTGCAAAGAAACAATGGCGACAGGCACCCTGCAGTGAGTAAGCAGATTGGACCTGCAGTCTGTAACAGACCTGCTCGGTCAGGGACCATCCTGACGTCTGACAGTGAGTCCTTAAGAGCAGGGATTTAGAGTTCTTTGGCTGGAACTTCTCCTTAATCAGGGTGGCCCAAAGACGCCTTGCTGCTCTCATCTTGGCTATCTCCATATAGAAGTTCATCCCAATGCCCCAGAAGAAGGATAACCTAGAGGCCAAGCACAACAGGGTAAATTAACACATTTATATTAAAAACAAAACAAAACAAAGACACTCATTAACATCCAAGCAATATTAACTAATCTACTAGTTTTATTCAAATTCAAGTGTCACAGATTGTACTCCACCTATGTGTATAGTCGTATGCAAAAGTTTGGGCAACCCTGGTCAAAATACATGTTTCACTGATTTTCTAAGTAAAGAAAAGTTCTGGCACACTATATTGTATATATTTTATGTTTTATATAACATATTATATATGTTACATAAATATAAATATATATAACAATTTCTTGTAATATATATTTACAGCTTTATATAACAATCTCATTTCATGGGGCTCTGAAGCAGTGCAGTTTTTAAAAGAAGTTTTTAGACACCCCTTCTAATTAGTAAATGCAGCTATCGTAAGATGCATCTATTACTTACACAGACATTCAGTTGTGCACACAGTTTCTCATAGAAAAGAACTGCCAATAGAATAAGATGCTCTAGAGACCCTCTAATGCTCACTAGTGCATTACTAGGTCAGGTACTCATGATGTATGGCAAGGTCTATATTACAAACGCTACGCCCTTATCCCAAAGCTCGGATGGTGTTCTATCATTCTAGAGAATGCAGTTCATCTGCACCACAGTCCAAAGCCAAGCATCGGCCACAGGGGTAAAAGACCCCCACTTGGGCTGTGAAGTAAAGGAAACTGTGTTGTCTGGAGTGATGGAGCTCCAAATAATACCACTGGGATGAGCTGGAGTGATGTTTGTGATATAGATCTAATCATCATCAGTACCTGACCTTATTAATGCTCTTATGACTGAATGCATTTAAATCTTTCCAACAATGTTCCAACATCTAATGCTGCAAAGTTACTTCAGCAAAAGGAGGGGCAAACTTCTTATCAAACATCTGATTTCAGAAGAAGCATTGCATGAGCTGGTACCTACAAACTTTGCATATTTAGTGTAGACTGAAATACTTTTATCAAAGCCAACCTGGGTGCAAACTCATCGATGGTGAGGCCAGCCTTTATGCCAGTTCTGCAGTACTCCAGTCCATTGGCAATAGTGTAGGCCAGTTCCAGGATGGCATCGGCCCCGGCCTCTTGTAAATGGTAGCCACTGATTGAGATGGAGTTAAACTTGGGCATGTGCTGTGAGAAAACAACTGCATGGTCAGCTGAGAAAGTCATCCAATAAAGTAACAATGGGCCTCATTCAACAATATCTTCTTAAGTTTTTTCTCAAATGTGTTCTTCAGAAAAGTCCTAAGGAAAAAAACTCATCAGATTTATGACATGTTCTTAAACCAGACAATTGTTTGCACTTTTGTGGTCTTGTGTCGGCGTGGATTCGGTTACCTAAGAACAAATCCCAAATAAGAAAACTGGTGAATGTCAGAATCTTTTAAGAAGAAATGTCTTAAGAACAGTTGGTGAAAGAGGCCCAATGATTCCAATTTTGTGTGCATGTTTTCAGATTCAGATAATGCTTTTGGTACAACTGAATATCCTCTTAGGCACATACATATTGTTTTCACAAATAAGCATCATGGTGTTCAATGCCAAAATGAAAAGAGAAACAGCAAAGCAGATATAAGACCAATACAAGAACCACGTTTTAGTCCATACCTTGGATGTGTATGCAAATATGTCGGCAATGGCATGCATGGAGGGCTCTGGGGGGAAGATGTATGTATTTCGGACCATAAACTCTTTCAGGATGTCGTTCTGGATGGTTCCAGTCAGCTTGGCCTTGTCCACACCCTGCTCCTCACCCGTCACTACAAACATGGCGAGGATGGGAATCACTGCCCCATTCATGGTCATGGACACGGACATCTTCTCCAGGGGAATGCCATCAAACAGCATCTTCATGTCCTCCACCGTGTCGATGGCCACACCTGCCATGCCCACATCGCCGTGCACTCTGGGATTGTCTGAGTCGTACCCCCTGTGTGTGGGAAGGTCAAAGGCCACAGACAGGCCCTGCTGGCCAGCTGTGAGAGAGAGACGAAGGCAACGAGTTAGTGAAGAAAGTTTTTTCAGAGACTTTGGATATAATGATCAAACTCTTTTACTGACACAACAGGTAAGAATCATAATCAAGCACATTTTCAGGATCTTTCTGAGGGTCTCTTCCATAAAATCCCCCACATTAATTGTGAGTGGCTGCAAGAGTGGAAGCACAGGCTCACCTAGTGTATTTAGTGTTTGCTTTTTTTTATTTAACTGTCTGGCACAAGTTGCTGCAGTTGCTGCAGTAGTTGTGTAGCAGCGTACTTTCCTGTACTGTTATACTGCAGTGTGTCCAACATAATCTGAAGCAGAAATGTGAAACATATTCCTGCATATTATTGTTAGCTGTTAAAGCCAAAACAAATTTTTTTTTTTCCTTTTTTTATTTATGCTTTATTAACACAATGGCATGTTCAACCCCTTGTTTGGAAGCTAAAAAAGGCCTAAAAAACATAGCAGAAGTAGCTTTAAATGTTCAAATCAAATGGACAAATTATGTTTTTTTTAATGTGCATTTTCTTTGAATTCTGTAATATAAACATGTTGAATTTTATTTTAACAGCTCTAGTTAGCACAACTTGTAGCTGTACAGTTAGAGGCTATAGCTCATCTTTGTCCATGCACTATTTCTTTTCGTCATCCTCTAGAGCTAGTCTGGGTAACTGTGGTTGGTGGACTATTCTCAAAGTGACTGAGACTTTTGAAAAAGGTACACCATTTAAATAATGTGATCTGATCATCCCTTTCCATTGAACAGGGTACAGATTGGCTGATAAACTGTGCATAGCAAAACATGGGCTTCAGTCAGTAACTGTAAACCTATAGTTAGCAATTGTAAACCTACAAAGTTTACCTAGGTATGGCCAACTAATTATATGGCCAATGAATGTAGATACAACTCAGTGTGTAAGTACATGCTCAGATATTTTCATGTGGGGATTAGCAGGCAGTTTTCTGCATTACATTCATTCTGCTTTACATGTAATAGGCAGCATTCTGAAAAATTATTAGTGTTGCTACTTTGACTGTAATCTCATACCTTTAATATTGTCTCTGTAAAACTTGTTGCTCTCCTCCACTGTGCTGAAGCCAGCATACTGTCTGATGGTCCAGGGTCTGAAAGTATACATGGTGGGGTAGGGCCCTCTAGTGTAGGGAAAGACACCAGGCAGTTCATCAGCAACTTTAGCCATGTCTGTCTGTGTATAAACAGGCTTGATGGAGATGCCTTCTGGAGTACGCCAGATCAAGTCCTCTGGGTTCTTCCCTTTAAGCTGCTTCTTGGCCAGGCTGGCCCAGGCCTCGTGCAGTTGCACCTCATCCCTGTGAGGGGTGGCTGTGTGGAAGAGTTGGGAGTGGCGCTGTTGATCCAGTGCAGGACAAACAGAGCCAGACGCACCCAGCAGCCGTCTAGCTGCCAGAGACGAGCACGCCTTTCCTGCAGTCAACATGCTGCAAGCTCACTGGCTTAGTTACTCATGGGACGTCTGAGGATGAAAAGTGTCAGAATGAGCTTTAGATTTCGGGCCTAGACATGAAGTCCTTCATATTACAAGCTTTAATAATATCTGGGGTTTTTAAGTGCTAGTAAATATGACCGAAATTTTTGTATGAAAACCTGTGACATTAAGTCAAACACAATAAGTGCAATAAACAGCGAATTAGAAGAGGTAGCTCCGCACAGACCTCTGGAAACTGAGGGGTTATCCAAGAATAATCCACCAAAAAAACACATAATATATAAATATACATTAGCATATGTTATTCACCCAAACCGCACATGTAAGAGAGACTGGAGAGTATACTAGTGCTGATTAACTTGGGGAAAATATTTAATTGTGAATTTTTCAAACAGTATCACACATTGAGATTTAAATGTGATCATAAATTAGGTTCTATCTGTAAATAAGCCATCCACCAAAAAAACAGTTGTAGCAGATACTGTTGCTTCTTCTTCAAGTGCTATAAAGTTCAACAAACAATTTGACAGATTTTATCTTAGTAAACAAAAAGCACATAATCCAAGCTGCTAACTCCTCAAGCGTTTGCTTGTTTTAGAGGATATCCAAAGGAAACATGGGAATATCCATGGGAAACATGGGAAAAAGTAACTACAAATTAATACAAACCATCCATAACATCGGTCAAAATCAGACCAGAGTGCATAAACACTGTATGTCCTAAAGTATCCAGACGCCCTTTATAATCAGTGAATTTTAACTAATCTACAGTGCACCCAATGCTGAGACTATAAAGAGACTATTTAAAAGGATGATCCAAACCTGCTGTAAAATCTGCACATAAAAGCAAAGGCAATAAAATACTACAGTGTGGCAGAGCTGCATAAGCCTAAGGCTATAAAGGCCCAGACCATTGGGCTGTAGAGAGGTGGAACTGCATAATCTGGAGTGATGGAACTCCATCCAATACCTTTGGGATGAGTTGGAGTGATGTGTATGATCCAGAACTAATCATGCAACATCAGCACCTCCTGACTTCACTGACTTTGTCCTCCTATGGCTGAATGCAATCAAGTCCTCACAGCATTGTTCCAACATCTAGTGTAAAGCCTTCCCAGACGAGCAGAGGCTGTTACTGCAGCTAAAGGAGGACACACTCCTGATAAATACCCTTGAATTCAGACGAAACGTTGGATGAGCAGCTGTACACAAACCTTTGGCCTTACAAGTTAGTGCTGTTTAGTTATGTGTTGCGTAAGATGCAAACACATAAACAGTCAGCAAGTAAACACGAATAAAACAAGAAGAGAAGAGGTTTTAGGTTAAGACGCCTGGAACTCAACTTCATACAGGTGCACAGCCAAAATCACACGAATGTCAACAGTGCAGACACGCAGAGGTTCTGGAGGCGAACACAAACGTTTCAGCGTATTGAGTTACACAGACAGACGGGCGTCAGCGCAACCTGCTACATTTCACCAAGCGCTGAGGCTCCGTTTGATTAGGTCGATAAGCAGCTCATTTCTGTGCCTTACAAACGATTAATGTGACTACAGAACATAAGCGAGATTAACAGATATAAATATGTCTATTAAACAGCTTCTGACCTTGTGTGCTTCTCTTATGGTCCAGGTAGACCGAGAGTGGGAGTCTCTCCAGCCAATCAGATACGACAACAAATCGCAGTGGACCAATCAGAGGCAGCAAAACGAAGCGGGTTCGACCAATCACAGCAAGCTGTTCAGCCCCTTTTGTGCAAGTTTTACCGGCACGGGTATTTTTTGTGCTGATATATTAAACGTTCCGCTTGTAAAAGTACGCCATGTTCACAGAGCTCCAGCAGGCGGCGCTGTATCTTCCCTTTGGAGTCACTTCGCAGGTTTATGAGGAACTCGACTGCGCCCAAAACATCGTACTATACTATACTTAATCATGCTACATCCCCTGTGGATTAAATTGGAATTCCACTTTTTTTTTCCCCCAAATTGTCTGTATAATTTACTTTTTGTGACATAAACAGTCATTCAGGGTTGTTGAATGTGAAATGTTTCATTCTAGAGGATCTAATCGAGTCACAACTGTTCAATGTGGTGGTGATAGGAACCAGACAAATGTTTAACGCCTCTGAAAGCTGCCTCACAGAAAGCTATTAAATGAAATTGTTACAAATTTAAGGCCTGTTGCCTTAAATATTGTTTTACAATAGGTTATGTGATGGGGTAAGGCAGGGGTGCACAACTCTGGTCCTGGAGGGCCGGTATCCAGCACAGTTTGGAGCTTTCCCTGCTCAAACACACCCACTAAACCTTGCAAGTAACAGGTGAGTGTGATCAGGTGTGTTGAAGCAGGAAAATCACCAAACTGTGCTGGACACCGGCCCTCCAGGACCGGAGTTGTGCACCCCTGGGGTAAGGTTTTGGCCCATAACATATTTTTAAAACACATTCATGGCAGAGAGGTATAACTACAGGGTGTTGTTAGGCAAAGTAATACCCCCAAAACCAGACCCACGCCCCACCCAGATGAACCACTATTTTAATATTATCAACATTACATAAAACTCAGAAGACCTGTACATTTGTTTTTGATAGTAAACAAAATGGATATATTTGCACTGTAGACATTGTGAGCCCTGGTTCCACCACCACTGTAAAGAAATTAGAGCAAGACTCTGAAAGACTTTATGGCTTAACAATATTATATGGAGAAATGTTAAAAGATCTGTGGAATTCTATGTCGATACTTAAGACATTCACAATGCTAACATTAGTGATACAGCAAGGTCTGTGGGCCTTCTTTGATAGAAAAGATGTGACAGATGTCTGGAGTTAATGGTACAATAAGCTTGGAGGATTCTCTTAGGATTTAATTACTTTATATCACATTAATAAAGCTATCTTGCATTACTAGCTATACATGTAGTATTACTGATGGTGTATCATTTAGACATACTCTTTAGTATTCTAGCAAGCTATTGTAACATCAGTTTCATGATTTACACCAGACATTTATTCTTACCACCACACCTTTTAATCAGTAGCCATTTTGTGACAATGGTGTGACAGGCATTAAAAATCTTACTTACATACTCTTTTTATTAATAGCTTTGAGATGTGGCGAAGAAAAACAGAGGCTAGTTTCAACGAGCTCCAAATATTATTATATTTATTAAGAGTTGATAAAATGTTCATAGAAGCCAAAGCACTCCATGGTACAGTTTTCAGTTTGTTCCAGGCATAGGCAAAAGGTTTGTGAACTCCTATGATACTTGCAGCAAATGTTTAATAAGGGATACATATAAAATACACTAAGTACAGCAACATTATTATTGTTTCATATGCGTTCAGCAGGACATATTCATTTTTATCAAAAGTGGCAATGCAGACAGTGGTTGTTAATGCCCCTCAAAATACAGAATTGTCATGTACATAACACCCTACCTCCACTTCAAAAACAGTAAGGCAGTGGTTTAAATCCAAATGTGTGTGCTGTGGTGACGTTGATTTGATGCTTCTATGTCATTTTCAAAGGAAACAGAACCTAATATGAGAACAGAACATTGCTCATGATCAAACTAGGGCTGAGGCGTTTAAAATGTTTTAAAAGAGCTAGATGGCATATATAACATAGGTTGGCAATGAAGCAGAAGATATGTTGACTGTCTAGTTCAAGAGGCTAAATTTGTGGGAAGGGTTTCCTTGGTGGGGCAGGGGCTAGAGTTTCCTCCTCTTCTTAAGCTCACTCCAGCTTTAGCAGCTCCACATCAAATATGAGCGTGGCATTAGGGGGGATGACCCCAGGGTGGCCTGTGGCTCCGTATGCCATATCTGGAGTGCAGGTGATTTTCGCCCGCTGGCCCAGGCTCATCTGGGAAAAGAGAGATTAATATTAAAACACTGAACCCTCCGCTTCTCATCCACTTATTACTCTTAAGACTTGTTAGCTGCTATGAAACTATTTTGTAAGTTAATCAAACTTTAGTTATATAGAAATAGAACAAGAAAAAGAATAAGTAATTCAAAGTGATGTGTGTGATGTCAAAGGCTTTATTCTACAGAAACTTACAGAGTCAGAAAAGTTCACAGTGGTGGTGACAGAAACCAGATACGTGTAATAACTCACAGAAAGTTATTTCATGAAAAGGTTACGAATATGCTGCCTGATGAGAGATTGTTCTCCAACAGTTTTAACTTAAGCTTTTTTTTTAAATCATTTACAGTGAATTATTACCACCACAAAACCTTTTTTTTTCAGATTTGTCAGCATTTAACTTTATCAACATTACACGTTAAAAACTCAGAAGATTTATGTGGGTTCACAGATGCTTTTGGAAAGTAAATAAAATGGCTATATTTGGATTATAGATGTCACAACCTTTGGTTTCTGTTACCACCACTGTGAAGAAATCTGAGTCAAAAATAAGCTCTACACTGTGGACAGTATGGCAATGTGTATACAGTACTGTGCAAACGTCAGAGAGCACCCTTCGTTTATTTTCATCTCTAGTCAAAATTTCAGTACAGGAGATATTTGACATATTTCTGAGGTAATCAAATATAAAATAACCCATATAAATAGTTCACTTGCATAATGAAGGGCAAAGTTTAAGGACAATAAGTAAAACAATAAACTGGAGCTCAAAAAATTATTCAAAGATATAGAGAAAATGGGATTCCTAACAACCATGCAAGACCACCAAAACTGTCAGCATCAGATAAACAGGACTTTAAGCTTCCATCTTTGAGAGAGAGAGAAGAAAATCAACCTCCACTCTTGCTTGTTTCTGTCCATCCTTCCACTGTGAGAAGACAACTCAATGTTATGGGTCTAAAAGGAAGTGCAGGCTGGCCACCCCAGAGTCCAGACCTCCACATCATTTAACGCATTGGGGATTTTTTGCATTCGGAAAAGCAGAACATGAAACCAACTTCTAAGACTGAACTTTGGAGGTGTGGAAAAATATTTATGCAGTTTTCTTTGAAAAGCAAGTCACTTGAAAAGAACAAAAGCTGTAATAAAGATAAATTTAAACAACACACTAACAAGGTGGACACATTAAACACTGAAATGGTATTAGAGTTAATGGACTTTTAACTGGAAACGTAATAAATAAAGGGTGGTCTGTGACTTTTGCAGAGTACGTATACACTAAGAGAAGAGTAAAACTTTGTCTGCGTTGTTACCTGTGCGACTCCTTCCTCCCAGCCTTTGATGACTTCCTGTCGTCCGATCTTGAATTTGAAGGGCTTGTTTCTGTCTCGTGAGGAGTCAAACTTCTTTCCGTTCTGCAGCATTCCTGCAATACATTTGCATTGGAATAAACATGATTACTCTCTATATGTACTCTGCACCTGCCTGATATTTTGATTTTAGCTCCAAAAACATATACATGTATGTTTTTCTACATGTCACGCAACCACTACTAGCAGTGCAGTTTGCCTTAAAAGTAACAGTACTTAACCAAGATGTGTACTGCGTGGTGCATTGTGACAAAAAAAGAAAAAAGAAAAATACTAAATTTCATCTTTGGGAATAACTAGTTCTAAAAACAAGGTCAGTGATTTTCATGAATAAAAGAAAACACTGCCTTGCTCAGTTGCTTTTACCCCCCCAAGGACACCAGTGTGCCTCAAACTCAAACCGAATTCAAAAACACAGGAACGGTCTAATAACACACGGCTGGCCTCAAGAAGCGAACAGTCCTGCCCTTATCTAAATCTCCAGTGGCCTTCAAGCCCTCATGATCCAAATGAACAAAAGGAATGTGAAATATGAAACATTGGCCTAATTCAGCGTATTATTCTGAGATTTTAAGTAGGCCACCTTTTGCCTGCATCTGTATCACAGGGGAGAGAACAGGGAGGGGTAAAAAGCACCAGCACAACAGTGCGCACACAAAAACTGTCCAGTCAAGCATGTGCAGGATATAAGCCTTAAATAAGCAGTGCTTTCGCTTACTGCACAAAGCTCCTGCTGATTCTCATTAACAAAGGGGACTTCCTAAACTCTGAAGCTCGGGGCTAATGGGTCTGCGCTGCAGAGTTCTTTGAGTAAGTGACATGTAAGATGGCCCAAAATGGCAGGATAGAAAAGATGCTTACATTACCTAAAGAATACTTTTTGCTTGTATCTGCTCAAAAGGAGCATCACTATACACAACATGCAATTTAGAACATAAACAAAAGAATGCATTCTCAGAACTCCATCCATGATTTATATATTCAAACTGCTTAAATGACCACTCATTCAAGAATAACTGGAGGTAAATTTACCACAGAACAGGTATAACGTTTATGACCCTTTCAAGAGCAAAACCTAGACATTTTTAAATAAATATATATATATATATAATTAACATAATTAACATACTACATTTGGTTTTTGATTATTAGAAAATCAGCACATTTATTAAATAAAAGTTGACTCAACAGGATGTGATTCAATTGGATGACGCAGGGAACGTCTTCGTTAATGCCCACATGTGGCCAGCAGAAAAGGGGTAGTGCTATCACGTCCCGCGACGCCCGGAGGCAGTGTAAATGCAATATTAGGTCTTCCGCTGTAGCCTAGCTAGGCAAACTTCTGCACACACTAGTTTAAGCTTAATAGCTTTGGATCAACTATTTTCATTACATCTGAAACATTTAATTGAATCATAATTTAGTTACCCATGTCATATGTGAATGAAATTTATCATCAATGTTGTCATTTCTTTGGGAATTTACAGAAAACAGTCAACATCGCCACAAAGCTTTTGCCTTCTCCTGTAAAATTACTATTTTGGAGTTTTTCCTTGGACATGTTCAGAGTGGTACGCTTGAGTGGTACACAAATCCAAATCAATACTGCAACAAATCTAGGTGGAAATATCATTGCATTACTTGTAGCTACAGTTGCACCAATATGGGAATTATGGGCCGATGCTGATATCCAATATTTTTCACGTACAGATTTGCTGATGTCAGTACTGACGCCAGTACATAAACATTTATAAAACGCAGAAATTGGGGCTACCTGGACACCTATTTACCTGGATTAGCATTACAGAGAATACTAACAGATTACATATTCTGTGTTTCTAGGGTAAAATAAATACATCGATTTTGTATGTTCATCAAATGTAAACATGTCCTGAAACACATCCGATGCCGATATTATTTGAAGCAAATATCTGCAGATACCAATATGATTCAGGTATCATTGTGCATCTCTATTTGTAGCGCAACACAAAATAAAACCAACAGCATTTAACATGTCTAATGTTCTGCATCTGAGAACAATGAGTGTAGATGGCTCATTTTAAAATGCAGTAGTTATTAAAAAAGTATTAGTACAGAGAAATTGGTATTGTGTCATCTCTAGATAAACATTCTGAAGGTTAAAATCACCCAACACAGAATATCAGCAAAGAAAACAGTTACATATGGAGGATCCCCTATTTAACATATGAACTGAACAGCACTCGATTTGGCCACTTGAACTCAATGGCCAAATAAATCCCAGCTCTACTCCACTGTATTGTTTAACTCAGAGTAAACCAATCAACTCATTTATAGCCAGTTCCCAACAGACTGTGAGGGAAGGAGAGTGCGCCAATGCTCAGTGAAGAGTCTTGTATGACACTGCGTCTACTCTGGCACTCCCTATACTTAGAAGGATCTAGGGCTTCCAGGAAGGCCCCCTTGCCAAGATATCTCCCGACAGTCTGGGACCCTATCCAACATCAGTCAGTCCCTTATTACAAGGGGCGTTTACCATCTGTTAATTCTCTCATGAACATGAATTGCACTGCACTGTCTTACTGATTCTCTCTACCATCATAAACTCAGCGATCAGGAGATTATGTAGGTTAGAACCACACTGCTATCAACTAAATGCTAAGTGCTAAGTATGTAAGCACTACGAATTTGTGTCAGAGGGAATGTAATACACCTTGAAAAGCAATCCTACACCTCCACATTGCATTTCACTGCTTGGGGCTTTCAGTGCAGCAAAATGTAAAGCACATCAGAGCGTTTCTTTTCAACTGTCATTTATTTTGACTTTGTTTGGCGTGAAAAACATGGTTTAGCAGATGGTCCGAATGAAGAATATGCACATAGATTAACAGTGAACCATGGCTACTTCTCATAGCCGGTTCACCCTTGTAACACTTCTTTCCTAACCCAAGCTTGTACCACAGATTCAAAGAACGGATCTTTTCTTTGGAGTCAGCCTGAGCCTCGCACCAGCTTCACTGTAAAAATCTCTTCATCCCAGACACACTTGAGTAGCGTGAGAGCTCAGTGGGCCCGAGGCTCAATCTGCAGTGCAGGCTGCCACTGCATGTGGCTATTTTTACCTCTGTTTACAGTAACTGTCCAGCAGAGCCAGCAGCCAGTCTCCCCAAGCCAGGCTCAAATGTAACCAGATCAGACATGCATACGCTAGCTGTCTGTAAAGGGCTCTCACAGACATGTTAGCACCTTTCTGCATTTAAGCACAGCGTCAGGAAAAAGCTGCCCACACATCACTCGCATAGGAAGAGCAAAGTGTTCTGCATAAATCCTCTGGGCTGAACGTTCTGTCAGGAAAAGTAATGACGCAAAATCAAATTGCAGACAGCAATCAGGAATTGACAAATATGACTTTTCACCCTTTTTTCACACAAGTTTAACAGAGTTATTATATGGCTATCGCAAACTTAGGATAGCATCTACAGAAATGACTCTATGCCAGATCATAACAGTGAAAGAATATAAAATGCAATACAGAAATGCAACTAGTTTTCATTAGTGACGTGAGAAAAAACATGCCTCAGTTACATTTTTCTGATGTTACTTGATGTCTTTACTGGAAAAATGATTAGCTAAGATTTGCGTTCTAAAAAAGAAATGCTCAACGTTATGTTGAAAGTGAATGTAATCCACATTAGAAAGCAGCCCACAAAGTCTTAGTAGCAATTCTGGTATCGCTTTATTTTAAACAGATATTTGAGCTTAATTAAAGGCTTGTTCTTTGTTCAGTGAAGCCTAAAGTAGAGACTTCTACATTGTTTATTTACTATGCATTAAGCTTTATTCAGTATGACCTGCATTTGTATGTGATTGGAGGTCTGTAATGTAAAAATAACAAATAATTCTTGTTAGTTTGAATAATGCACAATAAACACTTTGTTAAGTGCCTGTTAGGCAAAATACTTAGCAATTAATCTAAAATCATACTGTATTAGTGTGTAATTGAGAGAATTTGGTTCTAGGTAGTGACGTTAAGTGTCCAAAAGTAAAATCTCCAAAATGGCAACTATACAGAAGAAGGAAAAAATATTTAATACTTTCAGTGTGAGTTAATGTAAAATATCATATTCTAAACTGTTTTTGAGCATTTATGTGGGTCCATTTATTATGAAATGTTCACACAACATCAAGGGTGGCTTCTGTGCTCATGCAATGTAGAAAAATGAAAACATACAAACATAAAGATACATTATTTTCTTTTTTGGACAATGATGATATGCTAAAGTGCAGTTTTAGTAATATTAATTAGGACTTAATTTGCATCACATATTCATGATATTTTGGCAACGAAAAGAGTCGTTATCTCTCTAATATGTCAGTTTGTGTTCTACACTTCCAAAAATTTAGTTCTTAAAACTGCACCATTAAATGTGGAAAACATCTTGGACTGCAGTAAAACAATAAACTTGGCACTTCCTAGAGCCTCCAAGAATCAAAAGCTGCCAATTATACACCAATAATATGTAAATGTAGTTGATAAGTCAAGCTCAATAATTTGCATATCAATGTCATACTAAAGTGTTAACTGTTCACTATTACTAAGTAATAATGCTGTTATTAGTGCATTAAATAACAGACCTCCAATAACATACTAATACATGTCATAATGAATAAAGCTTAAAGCATAGCAAATAACCCATTCAGAAGTGTCTAAGTTGGGCTTTACTGAATAAAAAACAAGACCTTAATTAACCCCAAAATGTGTTCCTTAAAAAAAAAATGACACCACATTCTTTGTGTGGTTTTATATTCTTCGTTGCATCTCCAGTGTGGCAATCATGCTACGCTTAAATCTAATAACTTTTCCATCACGGCCTTCTTCTGAACTCATGGGCGTCACTGAAATCTGTCTTGGAAGCTTAAGTGAAAGATCCAGCAACGCCAGAAGGTTTTGCTTTTACAGTTTGGCACGTTTTCTGCACGTCACTAATGAAACATAATATCTTTGTGTATTGCATTTCATATTTTTTCACTGTTATGATTGACAATCTGGCACAGAATCCTTTCCATAACTGTTCAC